AGCTAGAATACGCTTGCTCAGCACAAATCTAAAGCAGCTCTCTAGGATTAGACGCCCTAACACAAGAGATTATTACTGCAGCATACAAAGCACAGACAGAAACATTTTTCTCTGTCTTCTCTGCTCTATTTAACTATAGCTACCACCTACAGGAATAGAAGAAAGCAACAGGAATTATCCTAAAAAAGCTAAACAAGCCTAATTACGCTGCACCTAAAGCCTATAGAGTAATTGCTTTGCTTAGCTGCCTAGGTAAGGTTGTAGAAAGAGTAGTAGCAAAACGCCTTAGAACTCTTGCAGAAACAACAGCTCTTCTTCACCCCTTATAACTAGGAGGAAGAGCACAAAAATCTGCAATAGACGCATCTATACTGCTGCTAAACTAGGTCTAAGAGCAAAGAAAACTAAACGCACAACCTCTACAGTATTCCTAGATATTAAAGGTGCCTTTGACCACGTCGCTCTAAACTAGCTACTTGCTATACTATAATAGCTACAGCTACCTTGCAACCTAATAGTATAGGTTTAATTATTCCTATCTAAGCGCTAGCTAAGACTATCCTTTAATAGAGAAACAGAAGGCTTTAGCAGCATTATAGCATGAATTCCACAAGGCATCCCTGTCTTACTAATCCTGTTTCTAATATATATTAGACCTCTGTTTTAATCTATTATAAACTACTCCCTTTCCTACCTAGACAACCTAGCAATTACAGCATCATCTACTAGCCTAAAGAAGAATATCTGCATGCTAGAAAGAGACATTGCAAGCCTATTTGCTAAAGGAGCAAGCTGCGCTATACAATTTAATGCAGCAAAGACAGAGCTTAACGTACTCCACAAGCGAGCCGCTCACCCAAGCGAGCCGCTCACTTTTGCCAAGACCACACCCAACTTCACACAACTTGTAATGGTTCAACACAAGAACGCGAAAAAGCCCTCAAATGAAGCAGATATTCAGCTTGCTATTGAGGCTATCAAACGCGACGCGACACTCTCCCAGCGACGCGCTGCAAAGATCTACAGAGTGCCTCAAAGGACTCTTAGTGACCGACTAGCTGGAGCCTCTCCACAACGCGACTGCAAGGTCAATTCAATAAAGCTCACAAGCACTAAGGAGGATGTGATTGTTCAGCATATATTGAAGCTGGATGAACGAGGATATCCACCCCGGCTCACTGATGTGGAGGATATGGCCAACTCTCTACTCACTGAGCGCCACCAGCCTCCTGTTGGCAAGAACTGGGCTGCCAACTTTGTTAAGCGTCGCCTAGAGCTTACAGTCAAGTTCAATCAAAAGTACAACTACAAGAGAGCCCTCTGCGAGGATCCTAAGGTGATCTAGGGCTAGTTCTACCTAGTAGAGAATACTAAAGCTAAGTATAGTATCCTGGATAAAGACACCTACAACTTTAACAAGTCTGGGTTCATGATGGGCGTTATATTAACAGGAGCTGTTGTCACAGGCTCTGAGCGTCGAGGAAGGCCAAAGACAGTACAGCAGGGCGACCAAGAGTGGACCAGCATTATCCAGGGCATCAACGCGTCAGGGTGGAGTATCCCACCTTTTGTCATCTTCCAAGGCAAGCACCACCTCTCTGCTTGGTACAAGGAGCCATCTATACCTCACAACTGGGTCATTACTGTCTCTGAGAACGGCTGGACCAACAATGAGCTTGGCATCAAGTGGCTGAAGCACTTTGATGAGCACACAAAGGAGCGCACTGTTAGCAGCCATCGGCTGCTCATTCTGGACGGCCATGAGAGCCACAACTCAGTCAAGTTCCACCAGTACTGTGAGGAACACAAGATCATCACTCTGTGTATGCCTCCTCACTTGTCGCACCTATTGCAGCCACTTGACGTGGGTTGTTTTGCCCCAATGAAGAAGGCCTATGGTCGCCAAGCTAAGCTGCTGATGCGCAACAAGATTACTCGCATCACAAAACTCGAGTTCTTACCATGCTTCAAAGGAGCTTTTGATGCCTCTATTACTAGGAGCAATATCTAGGGAGGATTCAGAGGTGCTGGCTTGGTCCCCTTTAATCTAGAGGCTGTAATATCAAAGCTTGAAGTGCACCTGTGTACTCCACCACTACCTACTATAGATGAGAGTACGTGGCACTCTTAAACCCCACAGAACACCCTGGAATTTAGGTCGCAATCGAAGCTGATTCAAGAGAGGATCCAGCAACATGGGGATAGCTTACCAACTTTAATGGTTAATGCCCTTAATCAGCTCACCAAAGGCGCAGAGATGATGGCGCATTCACTGGTTTTAGTGCGCAACCAGGTCGCAGAGCTTCAAGCTGCCAATAAGGCCGCCACACGCCGTAAATTACACAAGAGGAAGCGGATCTAAAAGGAGGGGGCTCTCACTGTTAGTGAAGGTGTGCGCTTGACTACCCTAAAGGAGTTTAAAGCCCGTGGCGATGGGAAGAAGGCAAGCAAGAGGAGGCGCGTTCAACCAAGTACACAGTCTTCACGACGCTGTAGCAAGTGTGGTGAGACAGGGCACAACGCGCGAACGTGCAAGAATAACGTGTAAGGTATTTCTAAATAATTTAGTGTACTATAGCCTGCAGTAGGACCTAAGTTGCTACTATAGTGTTGTAAGTTGTGTGAAGTTGGGTGTGGTCTTGGCAAAAGTGAGCGGCTCGCTTGGGTGAGCGGCTCGCTTGTGGAGTACGTTATTTACTTTACAACAAGTAATAAAGCTATTAACGTACTCCACAAGCGAGTGGCTCACACAAGCGAGTGGCTCACTTTTGCCAAGACTACACCAACACTACAACTACTTTACAACATTACAGCACACAACAACAATATCATGTACTACACAGTATATTGCACTAATCTATAGTACTTTGCGCATCTTTCTTACACGTTGTCCTGTTGTGCCCTGCCTTGCCACACATGCTACAGTGTCTTAATGACTGAGTGCTGCTATTAGCACCTCCTCTCTTCTTTGCCTTCTTCCTATCACTACAGGCCTTAAACCCCTTTAGAGTAGTTAGCCACACTCCCTTAGCAAAGGTTAATACCCTATCTTGCTATAATTGCTTTCTTTTGTGTAATTTATAGCGTGTAGCAGCCTTGTTAGCTATCTAAAGGTCAGCAACCTAGTTACACACTAAAACTAGTAAATGCGCCATTACCTCTGCGCCTTTAGTAAGCTAATTAAGGGCGTTAACTATTAATATTAGTAAGCTATTAGCGTGTCTCTAGATCCTCTCTTAAATTAGCTTTAATTAAGACCTAAATTCTAGGGTGTTGCTTAGTGTCTTAGACTCCTACGTGCTGTTGTCTATAATAGGTGGCGTTAGCGTGCGTAGCTGTACTTCAAGCTTTAATATCACAGCCTCTAGGTTAAACAGGACTAGGCTAGCGCCTCTGAATCCTCCCTAGATGTTGCTCTTAGTAATTGAAGCATTAAAAGCAGCTTTAAAGCACAGCAAGGACTCAAGTTTAGTGATGCGAGTGATCTTGCTCCGCATCAGCTGCTCAGCTTGGCGGCCATAGGCCTTCTTTAATAGGGAGAAACAACCCACGTCAAGCGGCTGTAGCAGATAGGATAAGTGTGGGGGCATACACAGAGTGGTAATCTTGTGCTCCTCACAGTACTAGTGGAATTTAACTGAGTTATGGCTCTCGTAGCTGTCTAGAACAAGCAGTTAGTAGCTGCTAACAGTGCGCGCCTTTGTGTGCTTATTAAAGTGCTTTAACTACTTAACTCTAAGCTTATTATTAGTCTAGCTATTATTAGAGACACTAATAACCTAGTTGTTAGGTATACTAGGCTCCTTGTACTAGGCTAAGAGGTGGTGCTTGCTAGAGAGGATAATAAAGGGTGGGATAGACTAGCCTAGGCTGGCGGAATGGGTATACTCCAACGTCCTTCGTGGGTACCCCCCAAAACTTTGTCAATAATACATGGATTCTAGCGAAATAGGGCTTAAAAGAAAGAGAAAAACTACCTCTACATTTCTGTGGTTGAGGGTTTTGTTATAACTATTAAACTGCACAAGCTAGAGGCTAGAAAAGGTTAAAAAAGGGGGGGTACCTAGCAAGCATACCCATTGATAGGTATACTTTGCTAGGTAGTGTTAATAACTTAGCTAATACTAGGTGGAATCAGCTAATTCTTTTTTTATTAGAAGGCGCAATACTAGGCGCTTCTATCGAATAATAGATTATGTATGCATATCTCTGCTAGTTAAGAAGCTATAAGCCAAAACGTAAAAAAGCATACCCTACCCATCCGCCAGCCTAGACTAGCCCTTTGCGCAGATGCCTTAGATAATGCTAGTCTACTCTCAGTCGCCCTGCTGCACTGTCTTTGGTCTCCCTCAACGCTTAGAGCCTGTAACAACAGCACTAGTAGATATAACGCCTATCATAAAGCCAGATTCATTAAAGTTATAGGTGTCTTTATCTAGGATACTATACTTAGCTTTAGTATTCTCCACAAGCTAGAACTAGTCACTAATCACCTTAGGATCCTCACACAGCGCTCTCTTGTAGTTGTACTTGCAATTAAACTTGACTTTAAGCTCTAGCTAACGTTTAACGAAGTAAGCAGCCTAGTTCTTGCCAACAGGGGTCTAGTGGCGCTCAGCAAGTAGAGATTTAGCTATGCCCTCCACATTAGTGAGTTGGGGTGAAAATCCTCGCTTATCTAGCCTCAACACGTGCTAGACAATTACCTCCTCTTTAGTGCTAGTTATCTTCATTATGTTAGGCTTGCAATCGCGTTGTGGAGAGGTTCTAGCAAGTTAGTGACTAAGTGTCCTTTAAGACACGTTGTAGATGGCTACAGCGTGTCGCTGAGAGAGTGTCGCGTCTTGATAGATAGCCTGAAGAGCAAGCTGTATTCCTGCTTCCTTTGAGGGTTTGATTGTGTTGTTACGTTGAGGCATTATAGGTAGAGTGAAGTTTGGTGTGGTCTTGGCAAAAGTGAGCCACTCGCTTGTGTGAGCCACTCGCTTGTGGAGTACGTTAGCTCTACACTTACCCTGCTAGACAGGTCTACTATAGAGCCTAAAAAGACAGTTAAGTGGCTAAGAATCTACTTTAACAACGCACTCTCCTTTAAAGAACACGTAGCTA